GTTGTTTGGCAGGCCTAGGCTGGATTTGAACCCACCAGTTCAGGTGTATGTGGCTGGCACCTTAGCCGCTTGAGCCACAGGCACCAAGCCTAGGAGCTCTTTCAGTAGGATCCATTATCTCTGTTCCTATAACATAGTCCATCAATCCAGTGTTTTATCCTTTTTTATTTGGTGAACTTCCTTAATTTCTGGCATAACAAAGTACTTCAGGCTTGCCATGTATTTACCATGTGTATTTCCTGCCCTAGTGATGGAATAAGCTATTTGTCCAAGAAGCTTTAATTCCTTTTATGAAAAATAATATTAATCAAGATCTGGACATCTATCATCCTAGATCTGGACATACTATCATCTGGGTGTATCATAGTGTCTAGGCCCACTCAACTGGAAGAAAAGCAAAAAAAAGAAAAAGCAAATATAAATGTGTAAGTTAACTCTTGGATATGCAGATGTACATACATATTTCTATATGTAGCCATCTCTATATCAAACTATGAATTCATACTGATGTTTCAAGCTCTATTATGACATGGATCATTCTAGTCTTTGGTATAAAAAGTATTCCTTTGTACTTTTTATAAATTGTTATATATGAGTAAATAACAAGATGAAGCTTGTTGATCTTGCTTTTAATATTGATCAACAGGAACAGGAATATAGCTCAATTTGGGGGTAAGAACAATTCATAGGTGGTGGTGTGCTCTTTTGTCATGAGATATGTAACAACTGACTGTCTTTTCACCATGCCAGCAACTATTGGAAATCATCCCCGAGGGTGCAGTAATTCTGTAAAGTGTTAAAAATGATAGAATTTTGATTGGCTCTTTCTTAATTGATTAGCTAGAACAATTTCATAAGAGAAATTTCCTCTCATCAATTCTTTTGTAAACTAGGGAAAAAAGCTCATATAATAAACACAAGAATAAATGCTTAATTCTTTTCCCCATTAATTTTTTTACAGTAGCCTTTTATTTTTTATTTTTTTATTTTTTTGAGTCAGAGCCTCAAGCTGTTCCCCTGGGTAGAGTGCCGTGGCTTCACAGCTCACAGCAACCTCCAACTCCTGGGCTCAAGCGAGTCTCCTGCCTCCACCTCCCAAGTAGCTGGGACTACAGGCGCCCGCCACAATGTCTGGCTATTTTGGGGTTGCAGCGTCATTGTTGTTTGGCAGGTCTGGGCTGGATTTGAACCCGCCACCTTAGGTGTATGTGGCTGGCACCTTAGCCGCTTGAGCCACAGGCGCTGAGCCAGCCTTTTATTTTTAATACCTATTGCACTATGAATTCATAGGGGAAAGGTTCCAGCAGCTCAGGGAGGTGCCTTTCCATTGAATGTGACAAAGCTTGCTATGCCTATTATGCCATGAACTCATGGGGAATAGATTCCAGCACCTTATGCTCCTGTCCCATTGGTTCTCTTGGTTCTCCTGTGTGCTATGCAGTGCACCAGTTATGCCATGAACTCATGGGGAATGGGTTCCAGCACTTTATGCTTCTGCTCAACTGGTTCTCTTGGTTCTCCTGTGTGCTATGCTGTACGCATATTATGCCATGAATTCATAGGGAATGTGTTCCAGGAGCTCGGACTCCTTTCTGTTGGTTCTCACAAAGTGTTCTTCTTTGGGTAGAGCAGGCTGGAGCTTCAGTTGAACCCAGGTACCTTCCTCCTTGGCTGCCTTCTTTTTCTGATCATCTTCCTTCACGTATTTTAGGAAGCTATCTCACCTCTTAGAGTTCTTAATATGCTCAAAATGAACATTAATCCTCTTGGCAAGAATCTTGCCCTTAACCTGTTTACAACAATGCCAAAAGCATGCTGGGTAGCATTGTAGACTCTTCCAGTTTTGCCATGGTAACATTTGTGTGGCATGCCTTTTTCTTTGCAGTTTTTTGGCCAGGGCTGGGTTTGAACCCACCATGTACAGCATATGGGGCTGGAGCCCTACTCCTTGAGCCACAGGCGCCATCCTGGCATGTCTTTTTGAACAGAACCCATTTCCTTGACGTCTACAATATCACCGTTCTTGTACATTCACGTGGCCAAAGGAAAAATTCCATGTTTTCTAAAAGGCCTAGAAAATATGTATCTGTGTCTCTCCTCTTTCCCTTTGTGTTTGTCATTTTGGTGAATTACTGGAAGATGGTGACTCCAGCCCAAAGGAAGTTCCCCATTAATTTTTCAAGAATGAATTGATCCTGAGCATCCTATAAAGCTGAACACTGAGTCTTGTTTCTGAGTACCACTGTGAATTTGGAGCAGCCCTGGAGTAACAATACTTAGCCTTCTACTTCCCATCTTGTCTCCTGACCTCGGTGGAATTGGGCATGGTGGGGCGTGGAAGGAAGGTGGAGGCAGAGAGCAGTATGCAAGGGATGGCAAAGTTTGGGGGAGCAGTCTTGGGAGCTTCCACATTCAATCATCCAGAAAAAGCACTGGCATCGAAAGTAATTAATTCCTATATAACGGCTGCATTGGTTTTTATACTTTTTCATGTTTCCTTGGAAAGCTGAGTCCATCTTTATAAGCTTCCTCAAGCATCCAGGAAAGAAAGAACAGCCTGAAGCTATGAAAAGAGTTTATTTGACTCTAAATCTTTAAAAATAGCCTATCTAGGAGAGAAACCAAGTCATCTTTGGAATGCTGGGAGGAGGGGAAAGGCACTGATTGTCCACTCTGGTTGTTTAATAGTCACCCGATAACACATTTTAAAAACTACATATGTCCAGGCACTGACTCCAGATATTGATTCAATTTGTCTGGGCTGGGACCATGGAATAGGCAGTGTTTTTAAGTTTTTTCCAAGGTGACTCTAATGTTAAGTCAGAGCCATTTCTAAGGCCCCTAGAACTCTAGCAGGCTAATGGCAATGTCACACTCACAGGTTCATCACCTTGATCCAGGTGCCTGATGTTTGCAGAAGGCCTCTGCCTGCAACTCAGAAGACTAAGCTAGGAAAGATGACCCCATACGGGTCTAATCTGCCCTTCAGGTATGGAACTTGATGAGCGTGTCAAGGACTCCAACCCTTGAGTCCTAACATAAGACAGAACTATGCCTCCATCTTCAACTGCAAGAATGGCTCTGTGTACTTCATGCCTGCCACTGTGCTAAATACTTCACATCTCCCCACATCCATAACAGGTTGTGTATCTCAGTCGACAGAAGAGCAACCAGGATCCGAGAGAGTCATGAGGTTTGTTAAGGTCATAGGCTTGTGTCTAAGTAGGTTCTGGGCTCTTCCCTATCACATGGTGTCACTTACAGGCTGTGTCTTTCTCCCCAGGGCCTCAAGAAGCTGCTTCCTGCTTTCCAGGGCATAATACTGATTTGGGGTGTCAGGGCACTTGGCAGGGTGGGGAACACCTGACATGGAGTGAGGGATCCTCAGTCCCTGTTCCTTAGCATCAGACCCTTCCTGTGCCATAGGGGCCCACCCAAGCTACCCCCACTTGACCCTTCCTTCCAAAATCTCACTGACCCTTCACTTTCTGTGTGTCAGATCCCCACAACCAGCTGCCCAGTGTCTATGGCCACCTCACCTGCTGACTAGAATTACACTTGTCATTGCCCAGGCCCCTTCCTTCCATCCTCATCTCATAAAGCGACACCACATCCATCAGGTCCAGAATATCTGAACTAACGCTGGCCCAATGTCTTCAGTCTCTGAAGACACCGCTGCCTCTCTCCTTCCTGGCCCCAAACCTAGGCTTCCTGTATCACCCAGTTCACACCAAGGTACTGTACACTCCGAATTGCCCCTGAAGCTCCCAGGACTCTTCCCTAATTGAATCCTGGTCAGGCCACAAAAAGTTAGGAGCCTCCCAGTTCCTAACCTAGGACCCTAGGAAAACTTCAGCTGCCGCCAGACCGTGACGTAGGCACGTATTTACCTGCATATCTAACTGCCTGGCGGCAGGTTCCAGGCACAGACCACACTTGTAGCTCCGCCCTGCCTGGAGGCCCAACCCAGAGGCTGCTTTCGGTTTCCAGCGGGTCCGAAGGCCTTGGAGACGACCGGCTCTGCAAGCCGCGCCCTCATTGGCCGCCGCCTGGGCCAGGCGCGTCGCCCCGCCCTAACGCGCGTCGGTTCCGCAATGGGCTTTGCACTAATTGGGCCTTTCGGCCCCGCCCAGGGTCGGATTGGTCCAGGGTGAAACCCGTTCGCTTACCCACGTGGTTCTCTGGACAGTGGCTTGTCCTGTCCGACCATGGCTGGGGCCCGCAAGCTGGAGTTGGCCGAGGCCCTAGAGCTGGGGCCTGACTGGCGGCATGCATGTCACGCTCTTCTCTACGCGCCGGACCCCGGGATGCTCTTTGGCCGCATCCCGCTGCGCTATGCTGTGCTGGTGAGGAAAGGGCGCGCCCGGCCACTCCCCTGTCTGCGCCGCACTCGCTGGGTCTCTCCTCCCTGGGGCGCTCCCTGCCAATACCCGCTTCCTGTTCCTGCAGATGCAGATGCGCTTCGATGGGCGTCTGGGCTTCCCCGGCGGCTTCGTGGACAAGCGGGACAGCAGCCTGGAGGACGCGCTGAACCGCGAGTTGCGCGAGGAGCTGGGTGAGGCGGTGGCCGCCTTCCGCGTGGAACGCGCTGACTACCGCAGCTCCCACACCGGGTCAGGACAGCGCATCGTGGCCCACTTCTATGCTAAGTGTCTGACACTCGAGCAGCTGTTGGCAGTGGAGAAAGGTGCAACAGGAGCCAAGGACCACGGGCTGGAGGTGGGGCCAGCCTGGGACCCTGCCCTAAACTTGATTTCTCCTCCCCCCAAAGTTTTCCCTCCCACTGGAAACCATTCCTGGAAGGAGGTCTTTGCCACCTCGACTTGGCCCTCCTCCTCATTTTCTTGATTTAATTGAGGTCTTGGTTATGTCTAATCTGGGTTGGTACTGCCGTCTTGGGCTCCAGAAAAGATCTCTCTCTACCCACCCTTTCCTGGTCTCTGGAGAGAGCTTTCTAGAACACACCCATCCAAGTCTCCGCGTTTCTTCCTGTTGACAAGGCACTATTGGCCAGGCATCCACCGTAGTCCCTTATTGTTGGGCTTTGTTTCCTTAGGAAGAAGACGTAACCCTAACACTTAAGCCTGGGGGCGCAGGGAAACTGTATGTGAAGGTGGTTCTCAATTTTTGACAGATACCAGAATCATGGGGGGAGGAGGCACTTTTAAAAACAGCAGTCGCTCCAAAACTGCTTGGGAGAGAGGGCAGAAACCTGTGAATCATGTTTTTAACCTGTTTAAAAATAATGCTGATACAAGTAATTTGATTATCACATCTTGACAACCAGTCCTTTAGAGCTAGGTATGCATCCTTGAGGAAGGAGCCACTAAAGTTGTAGGGTCAGATATGGGAAAGATTAGTATTGATGAAGCTGAAAAGCATGCCTTGGGTCTTTGCCTGCATGGGTCACACCCACTAGGGCTTAGTGAGGAATGAGCCTGAGGCCTGGTTCTGCTAGATGTTGAAGGGTGAGGCCTGTGCTCTAAAATATCTCCTGGAGAAAGGATGGAGTTCGTGGGATGAACTACATATGGTCCCAGTGTGTCCTGTCTCCTTCCTTTTACAGGTGATGGGCCTGGTTCGGGTACCACTGTATACGCTGCGGGATGGTGTGGGAGGCCTGCCCACCTTCCTGGAGAATTCCTTTATCGGTGCTGCCCGGGAGCAGCTACTGGAAACCCTCCAGGATTTGGGACTGTTGGAATCTGGCTCAGTCTCGGGCCTTAAGATCCCAGCTCGTCATTAGAGACAACCTCTCCGTGGACCCATGGAAGCTGAGATGAGGACCGTGGTACCAAGGGAGGAGGGAGGGAAAGGGTAATGTTTTCTACTTGGAGAGATAATAGATGATATACCAAATTAAAAGAAGATGATAGATGATACCATATTAAGAGAAGAATCAGTGTATACGATATGTTTTGAACAGAGGACCCCTCCCCCAGTTCAAGTCATCAGGGACAAAAATCCACACCTCATCCTAAGGGCTGTGGCAGATTTTTGCAGCCTCCTTTATCTATACCTTTGCACATACAGTCTGACACCTGACCCCCATCGTGTCCAATTTATCTGGAAGTGGAATTTGTCCTCATACTCTACTCCTTGGTGACAAGGACGTTCTGGAGCAAGGGTGGGTCTTTTCCCACACTTCTCTCTGGCTCCTCTCCAGGGTCTAGCCCAGCCCGTGTTTGGTGGGGAAGATAGAGAAGCAGAGGATTCTTCACTTTCGGAAAGTAGTTGTGCCTTCACCTGAGGCTTCACCAAAGCAATTGGCTCCTATAAGGTGGGAGAGGGTCTTAGCCAATCCCCAATCCTTTTCTTCCCTGGAATCTGAAGAGATAGAATGATAAAGTGTCTAGGTCTCCTTGGACTTAGCATGGACTTGAGACTTATGAGTCCTGTGCCTCTCCTCCAGAGCTTTCATCCTGTGACCCCTTAGACTCTGGGGACATTAGAGGTTAACTGACCTAGCCCCTGTCTAGCCCTATTGTGCCAGAAAGAACCTTCCAGCACAGAAAGAGACTATTAGTGGAGACTTGAGGCCTTGCACCTTTTTCAGCAGATATTTACTGTGTACATACTAAATGCTATGTGGTGTGAAAAATACGGAAAGCCATAGCCCTTTCCTTCCAAGACTCCAGAGCAGGGATGAGCAAACATTTTTTAAAGGGGCCAGAGTATATACAATATGCTCTTTTGGCAACCATTGAACTCACTCACATCAAGAGTCATAGACAATTCACAAATGAGTGTGGCTGTGTTCTAATTAAATCTTACTTTAAAAAACAGTTGGACATCCTCTGGGCCATAATTTGCCAACCTCTACTCTAGAGGGGCCAGTGAGATCAGTTATTGTAATTGTGATTCCTACTTACTTGTTATTTAAGCATTAAGAAGGAAATAAACAAGGGACTGACAAAATCCTACCTTGGTACTTTTCACTTTTAGGTGAGGTGATCTACAGAGCCCTCCTTGAGGAATATTTAAGTTAAAAGATGAGCAGGAACTTGCCAGGCAGCAGTATGGGAAGAATATTCCAGAGAGAAGCATGTGTTTTGTTTTGTTTGTTTGTTTTTTTATTGAATGGTAACTATGTACATTAATGCACTTTTGGGGTACAGTGTGGAGTTTTCACATGCAATCTGAAATACTTCCATCAAACTGGTCAACACAGCCTTCATGTCATTTTCTCAGTTATTGTTTTAAAACGTTCACATTCTAC